TCAGAGATCCTTTAAAACTCAAATGGCAGATAACCACATAAGAGTTCTGTTAAGAATATCCCTATTAAATAAAGAAACTAGAAATCTGAAAAGCAAATCTGAAATGCAGTTTGTCAGAACTCCAAGAATCCCTGAAGACAAACATATGATAAATCAGCTGGAGCAGTTCAATCTCACATAAACAAAATCTGTATGGTTGATACTCTGTATACTAGCTGTCTCCACTCAAAGAGAAGGAAAAGAGTTTGTTTCATACTTGATTTCAGCAATAGATTGTAGTCCATGGCCTCATCTTCAGCAGAATGCATATGATTTCTTCACTGTGTAGACTGCAAAACCAAAGCAGTAGAAACACTTTAAGCTATGCATTTTAAACAACAAAATGAAAGAAATCTCTGTTTGGAAGGGCTACAATCCTTATAACCCTGCTGGCTATTACCACACTCTAGTAAGTTCTTTCAAACTTCAATATTTAAAAGACTTTTCTCTTAATACCTCCCCCAGAATAGCTTTACAAAGGGTCACATTGGTACAGTTTCCACTGCGCTCTGAAAACTACCTAATTTTCCAGAGCAACAACAGAGATTACCCAGTTTCAAACAGTTTCAGATGGACTCCAGGATAAAACTCCAAGAATGTTATATACAGCATTGAGGCCATCTTTGTTACCCTTGTCCTTTAGGCAGGCAAAGGAAAAACCTAATGCCATACCTGCGTATGGAAAACCTGTCCAAATTTTGGCAATAATTTTAAGTGGGTATCTTATCACGGAGAAGAAAGGCAGCAAATTTTAGAGTCCCCCAGCTTTATTAGAATAGGAGTGAATTCTGAATAGAAGTGAATTCTGTGGGCTTGATTAAAAGTTAAAAACATCAGTGGGTCAAGACATACAGTGCACATGCCATTGCCTTTGATTCTGTTTTGCTGATTAAATGTAACTTCACTCTTGCTATCCTTAAGTGCAAGAGAAGGAGGATTTAGTGTGCCCAGGATGAGGACAATCAAAATTCTGATACTTAAAATAACTTTCAGCAATCTTGAAATTTTGTTTGTGAAGTTGCTTATCATTTCAATTTCAGAAAGTGTTTCCAGCATACATTTGCATTTCCAATAGAGTTTTGATGTCCACATGCCTGAATATGCTCTGTTAAGACTGTCCTGTATTTCTTAAAATGACATCTGAGAAAGTTACTCATTAGCACCTTCTGAAGACAGAACTTGGTCATAAGAGTTGGAAGAATTCCCAGGGTATCTTCTGTACTCCTATGCTGAAGATTTGTAAACGCTTTCTCTAAATATAGAGTAGGCTCGGGTTAGCAGTTAACTCTTCAGTCTTAGTAAGGTCCTGCAGATACGGTGTGTTAACATTATATTTGAACACTTTACGTTGGGTGAAGACCCACCTTCCCATGCCCCACAGACTTTGCAGACTTTCAAGAAAAATCCATTAGAGGAAAATTGAGGTTTGGGACCAGACAGATGGATATTACTAAAGTAGATGAAATAAAAGTCTTATATCAATATTTCATTAACCTGACAGTGCCTCGTACAGTTCAAAACAACAGCCCCACCAACTATGAGATATGTGGATTGTACAGTATTGAAGTGTTATTTTCAAGTTATGATTTATGATGTTTACAAAGCACCAAGGCCATAAAGGCCATCATGCCTCCAAGCAGTTCCTCTTTAAAGCTTACTTTGAAGCATTTATAACCAAACAGAGTGAGCAGCTAAACCATCTTGTGTGTTATGTTCAGCTGCACACTTCTCTTTGCTCTCGTACCCAGCAGATTCGCCTGACGCAGAGCTGCCTCCTTTTGTCCCCACAGCTTCAGCTACCCAAGCTGTCCGAAGTGTCTGAACTTGCCTGGGTTTTTTGTTTTTTTTTTTTTTTGAGTGTGATACAGCAGCAGGCTGGCTGCAGGAGGTCTGATCCTGCCTGTAACCCAAGCTTCTGCTGCCGTGCTTGTCCCTGCCAAAAGCAGAGGCTGTGGATCAGCGACCTGATGCGAATTTGTGCTGAAAGTTACTCAGTGAAGTCCAGACAGCTGCAGCTGAGGATGGGCTGTCAGCGCAAGGAGGAGGAATAGAGCCACCACACAGCAGAGGGATGAAGGAGAAATTACCCAACAAGATAAAGGAGCTCAACAGAAAGCATACAGTTTTAAATAACAGATACTGCTTTAAAAGTAATCCTGGTGCCATAATATTCATTATATGCACATGAAATATGCATAGTGCGTGACAATGAATGTATTTCAGAACAAAGGAGAAATAAGACACAAGAGAGTGACATTACTGCACAGACTGATGTAGGGGCTTCTGCAGTTCATTGGTGATAGACATCCATCCAAAAGACTCCAAATCCCTACACCCAACCTAATCCTAAAGCATTTGGCTTCCAGACCGCCAGTGCTCTCCATCTTTTCTGTCATCAGATGTGAATCATTTGGATTATCCTGCTTTTTCTAATATTCAAGTGGACTTTCCATCAGGAATTCCCTCATGCCTTACCTCTTACAGACTGTTTCTTACTCTATTGACAAAATGAAGTTTTGGATATTTTGACAAAATATCTTCCTTGTTTTTCCTTTGTTTTGCTCCTCTTTTCTTTGGTTCTCTTCCTAGTTCCTGCTCACTATCTCACTCAATCTTTTGCAGAGAAACTGCAAAAATGACAAGAAATGGTATAAAGAGGTGTTCTGTATGTGGTGTTTTCATGTATCACAAAGTTTTCATATTTGGCACAATAATTTTAAAACTATTTGGCTAATCCTGCATTTTCAAAACTATGAAAAGCCTCTGGAACAGCAAGAAGAAAATCAGAAATTGATACATGAGATTTGTGCAAGCAAAATTAGATCATTTGTATTTCAAAACTAAGAGGCTATGAAGAAATTAATGGTTTAAAAAAATAATTCAGAGAAAAGTTGCCAGTTAAACTAGGATTGTGTCTTCTCTCAATTACTTTTAAATTAATTACTTAAAATTATTCTAATTATCATTAAGTAATATAAAATAATATAATTGAATTATTATGTGTTTGAAAATCATACGCCGTGAGATAATTTTATACCTGTGAAAAAATAACCCCACAACATTTTGGTTAAAAAATTCTATATATAGGTTGATTACCTTAGGAGAGGGTTAAGAATTTCAAAAGTAGTGTCAGTTTTGAGTTGCAGCCCCCACCTGCACATCCAGGAGACCAGTGACCTCTGCTGGAAAGGGGGGGATTGCCTCGCAACGCTACAGGCTCCCACGTCACCCCTCGTCCCCTTGCTATTGTGACTATAGGTGAACTCGGCATCATTAAACTCCTTCTTTCATTTATAATTTTTTTCTCCAGTTTATTTTGGAGAAAGTTTACCAGCTCAACTGCACCTCAAATGTAACATTCTGTGAAAAACTTGAACCTTTGAACCTTTGACAAAGTTTTAAATGAATGTTTAATAAATAAAGATTAAAAGTTTAGAAAAATGGTACAGCGGGACTACGAAATGAGTAGTTTTAATGAACTGGAGCTGTGCACATAAATTGCATTGCTATTTTCACCTTTGACAGTTTCCACTTACACATGATTATTCCTTCTTCTGTCTCTCATTTAGTGCTACAGTAATTGAAAGAGTGGAGGCGCCTGGCATTGCAGACATTCGATGATATTGCTGTAGCCAGAGCAGAAACGACGTGACAGAGCACCCAGAGTAAGAAAACGGAGCATTGAGAGGAAGAGGAAGAATACAAAGGAAATCCAATTCCACTGCGCCTTGCAAACCTGGGCCCTGCCCCCACATGGGGTACTCTAGCAGTGGTTGGTACCACCCAGAGAAAAAGGTCTCAGGTAGGAGCCCCAAGACTCAGTGAGAGGAACCTATTGCAACCACCGGCTCACAGATCACATCCAGAATGCACAGCTCTGTTGAGAGCAGCTTTTTTTTTTTTTTTTTTTTTTTTTTTTTTTTTTTTTTTTCCTCCAGTTTATGGTCAGAAGTGTCCTAATGTAGACATTCAGGCAACAAAAGCAAATTAGTATCTTTCTCCAGCTACACAAAAGGCTCCTCTGCTACCAGGTGGTTATGAGTCAATAAACGGATAAAATAATTTATAGTGGACACCATTTAGCATAATTTATGAAACCTGTATTACCTCATTTTCAAAAGTTACAAAAGCCCTGTTCAATGCCAACAGAAACTATGGCTGATGAACACAGCTTAAATCTAAGTCACTTACAGATAAACATTCTAAATTCTACTTAGCAACATTAAAGCACTAATACTGCAAAACAACACACAAAAAGCCTATACAGTTTTGGTCAATTCACTAACCACCAGCAAAAAGAATATAAGTGACACAGTTTTTCCCAGTACAGGAACTAAATGCTCATCCTCACAGCAGGCAGTTTTTTTCTTACCAATGAAATGACCTAGAAAAGCAACATGCCACTTATCAGTAGTGCTATATAACAATTTAAACAGGGAGTGATGAATATTATATCCAATCAAAAATGCTGGGGGACTTCAAAATAGCAAAGTGTATTTACACAAACTGATACTTAGCAGGAGAAGACTAGTACATCAATGCTTTCAGGAAATACACTGAACTAAGAGCATGTAATGATTTTGCTTTTAAGGGTCTTCAAAGAAACGTTACAGTAACACTACAAATAACTCCATGTGAGTTACCTAATAGACTGATTCAATGATGCCTGAAAAGGAAAAATGAAAAATACAGTCTGCTCATAGAGTTGCTTCTTAAGGTATCTCAAAATCTCAGTACTGAAAACTGAGAAATTTCTCTCCTCTGAGTATCAGCCCAATGCTCTTCCTCACCGAACTATCCTGATCCAATATCGGGGCAAATGTCAATATGATCCCAAGAGCAAGATTAAGACACAAACGAGGTCAAATGCCGTATACGCAAACCAGGTTTTTATTACTGAAAAAGTGAAGAGGGGTAGCGATAGGACAGAAAGGAAGGAAAAGACAGAAATGAAGCAAGGATACGGGATAGGGCTGCAAGAATAGTCACCACCATGGATCCAGCAGCGTCCCGTTGGTCCTCAGCCTTCAGTTCTTCTGTGGTGGATGCACACGGATCTGGTTTCGATGGTAGATGCACACCGAGCAAAGTTTTCAGTTGCCTTTTTAAGTTAATCGTAACTGCTGCTTATCCTATCTGCCCACATTTAAGGTTTTTTTTTCCCTCTGGTCCCACAGGTTTTGTTGCATCCAGCTTCTGGGTAGAAATGTTTGCCTCTTGTCAGTTCATTAGCAATGCAGGCATGGGGTCTGGCCTACACAAGAGCCACAAATGGCTCCAGGATGGGGTCAGCTCAGTAAACTTCTGCCCCTCTGAGGTGTATCCAAGGAGTTCGACAATGCAACCACTAGGAAGTGGGGGGGGTGCATCCTTCAATACACTCCCGCTTTCCTGGGCGACATTCCCCAGACCAATTCACCAGCTGCAGCAGCTTCTCTTGGAGGTTTGCACAGACACAAGCAAGCTTTGAGACAGGCATATGACATTTCAGTCTCTCACACGAACAAGCAGGCAAGTGAGCTCTGCAGCCTGAAGCAGGACTACATACAGAGCACTGATCTTCCACACCCGGGGGAGTGCAGTGGCCCACTATACCAACGTGCAGTAATAGAAACAGAATTAAGAACAATTAGAGAACAGCACTGTTCCCCCTACTTTGTAACATTAAGTCAAGATGTAAAGGGTGTCTTTCAGTCCTCTGTATGTGTTGAATGTTCCTGTGTGTAGCTGTTAGAATGATTCTAACAGATGGTTCTTCTTTTCCATCTTGGATGACCAAGTTCAGACACCAGTTACTTCATTTTTGAGTGTTCGTTTACATTGCTGGGGATGTTTACATCACCTCAACATACAAGCATCCACATTAGACTGGGGATCTTGACATAGGAGAGACTGATCAAACAGGTCGGTTCAAACATGTAAATGAGTTTTTCTTTTTTCAAGCGACTGAAGAAATTCTCAGCATTTCACATGGCACCTAAACAACACAGCCATTTTGACCCTATACTTTAAAGCACTCTTTTCAGTGAAGACAGATAAAGATGGTAAAAGATCTGCACATAAACAAAGGATACTCGAGCTGGCACAGTACCTCACACCTGGTAGGCTGTGTTTTAGCTTATTCCTAACACGCAGGTACACCACGCCATGAACAAGTTCAGCAGCACGTGTCAGACCAGCTACACAAGCATGGGGTCTCTGTCATGTCTGCACAATAGGACTGATGCTTTCTAAAAATACTGGACTCACTGCACAAGTACACGGTAGGCTGCAAAGGTGCTGCTTGATGGTTCTGGAGTTTTGGATCCACAGCAACCTGGTCAAAATCATTTCCCCAGAGCAAATACAGGAAAGCCCCAAATCCTGTTCAGAATTTGTAGTGAGAACAAGGTAAACAAAAAGCAAAATAACTACAAACAAACAGGACTTTTCCAGAGGAATCCTGGAGAAACCGCAAACCCCACCTCACAATCAATCCCTCAGGAGTTAATAGACAGGATCCAATTCTCCAGGCTCAACCATAAATCTGTTTTGTTCACTATGTAATTTCTAACATCTACAACAAAATAAGCAGGAATTTTACAGCCTGCTTTAACCATACAGCCCTGATTCAATTTTATTCTTTGTGCTGAATGAAACAACTGTTCTTGGGAAAGAAGCCGTTGGTGAGTCATCAAGAACTGCATCTAAGGCGTACTAGGGGAACAGAGAGAGGAAAAAGGGTTTCTTAGGCAACCTTTATTCTGCAACTTCCTCATATTTAAGCATTTCAATTCTAATATTCTTTTGACATGAAGAAAAAAAAGAGTGCTTTGGAGTTTTTCAAATACATAATTTCTGTCATTTTAAATTTAAACTTCTGAAACAATTGCAATGACCGTGCTGATTCTCATATACTTTAATACCGAAATACTTTTACTGATAATTCTTTTTATAAAGAGCAGGAAATAAAAAATAGTTGAACATGGTTGAATCTTGTATTAGAGACCAGTTTACTAAAAATATTTGCTGCATAAGAAACATGTATGTTGCATGTAAATATTATTCTAATTGCATTAATTTGATAGTAGATGAAGGCGCATTACTCTGGATGGCTAATCTAGGTTTGTGTCCTAGCAGTATTTTGAGAGCTGACTATAAAGCATTGAATGGTAAAGTTGTAAGTTTTGAGTAAACATATCTTGGTTAAAAAAATTCTATTAAACTCTCCACTTCCTCCCCTTCCTGTCTCCCTCCCCTCTCAGGGGGTCGTTTTAATGCCTTTTGCTGTTGGAAAACAATAGAAAAAAATTGAAGAGTTTCACTTCACTTTCAGTTACTTACAACTGGAGGTATTTCCTCATACCTTCTCACTTCCTCCTCTTTGAAAAAACAAACAAAACAAGAAAAGTCAGCCATCTGTCACTGATAAAATAAAGACACAATAAAATAAAGACACAAGAGAAAACCACTAATTATAAGGTGCTGTGCTTCTGCACATTTGCTATTGAGATTGCGATTCAGGGGCTTGGAACACCAGAAAGAAGGCTCCGAGAGGTTTCCTGGTAAGAAGTTAGCATTCTTCAAAAGAATAAGGGACTGGAGGAGCAGAAGGTGAAGATCATGGAAGCTGGGGATAATCCTGGAGCTCAGTGAGCTGCATAGAAACAAATGCCAAAGGCTGCCCAGACTGTGGCCAGTGGGGCCCTGAGCCCGGTGGCTGAGCAGCTGCACTGTACAAATGCAACTTTCCACCCAACCTAAAATCTTACTGTTTTGTAAATAAACCCCACTATCCAGATCTATCTACTGTGGGCTGTCATTCACCCTATTTCCCTTGTGACCCAATCCCCATATCAATATGAAGAACTCTCCCATCACATTAGAATTGTGTACGCTGGCTGTGTCTGCTCTAAAACCCAGTTCACTATCCCCTGCCTGGTAACTGAGGAAGTAAGAGCAGCATTCTCAGCTCTCCCCTCCTGTGAGTTAGGGATTTCTTGGAAGGAAATCTTCCTGAAGGTGCTCAGAGCCAGAGGAAGTTATAGGATGCTCCACTGTTTCTCCCCACACCAGTGATCAAGGGACCAAGATGGGAGACGCTGGCATCCAAGAACATGCTTCTCCTCTAGTACGCATACAACTGAAATTTATCAATTTTATCTTTATAGATTGCTTTAATAACTAGGATAGTTTCAATTTAACAAGTAGTATTTGGGAATACACAAAAAAGTATTTGGAATTTGAAATTATCTGTGCAAATACTTATTCTAACAATCTTCATATATTCTTCAGTGCTGAAATCTTCATCCTGCTGAAATGCTGAATTGTCCAATTCTTACTTAAGCAACATATGCATTGAAAGCTTCTTAAAAAAAACCCCACAACTGAAAAACAAAAGACAACACACACACCCCCCCCAAAACCCCTCAAAACAAGAGCACACCCCCCTAGACTCAATACTTTCCCCACAGTTATAACCAAAGACCTCTGGATATGAAAGGATAAATGTAAGCAGCTCTGGCAGTCTGACCCACAGTCAAATGTCCTATCCACTAAGCAGCATACAAAGAATAATGAATACTTTTGGCCCAAATCAACAAAATACTTAAGAGTGTACTGTAATCGTTTTCTTGATTATAGACATTTTTGTAAATCTAGTTTGATACTGTCAGGTTTACTAGCAGTTTTCAAAAGTTATTTCATTTGAATTTACTGCTGTACTTGAGTTTTCAACACAATTTGGATCATAAGAGATGTCTTCCATTTTAACAGTTACGATCTGAATCATTATCAATTAACCAGTCAAGCCCAAAATGCTGACTCCTTTATTTCCCCCATCATTGTAATTTCCTAGAGGAGGAATTCAGTTAAACACAGGAGATATTTCTGTAATACAAGATTATAGACTACTACAAGAACAACCACCAATTTACAATTTGTAATGCCTAGATAATTTTCAAAACTTCATGTCTGCATTTTCAAAACCAGAAAGTATCATATATAGCAAGAAGATCAACTAAGTAACAATTAAAAAAAAAAAAAAAAAGCTGTCACTGTCCACAGGAACCATGTCTAGTCACGTTTTCAGTCAGTCAGTCAGCTAGCTGAGGGTCATGTCATTATTTAGTTTCTGTAGAAAAAACACAAGTACAAAAATAGTATCAAAAAGCAACATACCTATTTTTATTTTTAAATATATACATTATAAAACAATCTTTACAACACCATATAAATAAGGCTTTTAATATATGCTTCTTTTGCTTTTAAAGAAGTACCTCTTTCTGAGCAGTGTGGGAAAGGCAGCAATTTTTCTGCAGTATACTGTTGATACAAAATATAGTTAAGTTTTTTTTATTCTGCAGTATATTTCAACTGATACAGTTACTTTTTTAAAACATTTTTGCATGGAAGTAAATCCTTATAAGTATACATGTTAAATGTCAAGATTTTAATAAAGTTTTAACTAAAAAAATGAAAGGAAATAAAATCAGTGATGCAGAACTGCAGGACAGAGATAGTAAAAGACAACAATAACCAAGTATTTAATCACAGAATAAATGTTTATCCACTTAGTAACTAAGTAATTATTAAATAACAACACATTTTTCAGGTGAAAAACGCAATTAATCCATTTGCTGCAGGTTAAAGCCAATCAGCAATGATTATTAAGAGCCACAGAATCCAGCCCTAGATATGTGTGTTTTGCATTTTTAATACAGTACTAGTTAGAAAAGAGCTGCTTTCTAAGGACTACTTGGAAGATTTGTGAAAAATATCGTTTGTTTGTGGGGCATGGTTTTTTTTGTGGGAGGGTGGGCTATGGTATTTAAATAGAACTGCGAGGTTGAAATTAAGAGATTAATCAGATTTCCACAATACATTCTTCTGAAAGATACCAAATTCTCTTCCTCTTCTATTTTTGAGTGATATAATTTACACAACAGGCAGAGAACTGCAGTGAGGTTCTCACGAAATACTCAAAGCAATGCAAAAACCTGAGTAGAAAGCACAAGCTGGTCAACACCAAGAACATTAAGATAGCTTCTGGTTTTAGCAACTGCCTGGAAGTAGGCACTGCAGTTGTCTTCTCAAGCCTACACTGACACAAAGCAAGATAGTTTGAAGTGATTATTTCAGCCATTAATACTTACTCTGCATAAACCAGAAAACCTCACCCCTCACTAGAACTTGAAGAGAGAACTTAAGAGAACTTAAGAGAGAACTTTATTGGTCTGCATTTCCATAATTTCCCTGCTACTTTTAACTACTCATACAAACAACTGAATTTTCATTGACTTGCAGGAGAGCCAGAGCCTGCAAAATTCAGACGGTTTAGTTTCAAATATTAATATGCATGTATTCAAATCCTCCTGATAAACAAAGGTTGTTGTAAGAGTAGATTGTTCTTCCAATCAAGTTTACATTGCAAGAGCATTACCAGTAGCATACCGTTACCAAAAAATGTTTAAGAAACAATTTTGTAAATTATACTAAAAAAAAAAAGATTATTTACATAAGAAAAACATTGGGGAGGAAAAAAAAAATTCCAAAAATCAGATAAAAGCTGCATTGAAGCAATAAATATTTTATTTAAATTGATCAATTAATTTTCACATAGATTCTATTGGATTAACAGATCTTATCACAGATTTTAAATCTGAGAACCTTGTATAGAAAGAACTATTGCAGAAATCCAGTCAACTTGTTAGAGATAAAAGGCAAGCAATACAGCAGGACTAGAAAGGATTTTATTTTAAGAGGCAACGACTTCTTTAAGTGAAAACTCACACAAGTTTTAGCTAAGATTATTTCCTCCAGCTAAAATTCAAAAAGAACAAAAGTTAACATTCGCACATATTTTTTTAAAAAAGTACTATTGCAGAGTCAGATAATTCCATCCCCTTTCACATGCACTATTTAAAACTTTACTTGAAAGCGAAATATAAGCCTCTAAACTACTGCAAAATTTGTCAGTCGGCCACAAGTGGGTAAGCCTGATTTAAATGAGCAAGGCCTTTTAAAAAGGAGCACAAGTGGAATCTTTTCTTTTTATGACCATTTTGTTTGAATTTGAGGAACTAGCTTTGCCTGTTTATCCTAAGCTAAAATGGCCTGCTAAGAGACTCTGAATCAGGACTCTGACGTACAGGATGTAACAAGATGTAACACAGAAAATTCAGAAAGCTCTTCTACCGGTGTTATCACCAGGCACAGCAGACAAAAGGCTAACCAAAGGGAAAAATATTCAGCAGCCACTTGCACCAGAACTACAAGTAATCTGTCCAAGACAGATTTAGGGTGTCCATCCTTTTTCAAAGAATGAGTACTAGTTTCAGTTTGTTCATTTACAGAAGTGCAAAAACCTAGGAAAGGACAAAGTGCTCTGCTGTAAATGTGCATGTGTAAAAGGGTTTTCTTCAAATATGACCTTATTTCTCTGGTTTTCTAATTAGGTAAAATGGCACAACAGCAAATGTGTATGTCTTACCCTTACCTTACAATGGAGTTCAGGTTTCTAAATAGTCAATAATAGGTATATATTAGAATTCTTGAACTTAACGTAAAATATAAAGTAAGTTTTAGTCTTTTGAAAATACCATTTGGTGACCAACTTCACCTTTTGTCAGCAAGAGACCTTAAAAGAATAAAAAAAATCACACTGGAAAAATATGTGCTTGTGTATGCGTACATATGCGTGTGTGTTGTGTGTGAATAACATCACTTCTAGACTGACAATCAGAAGAGAACCTCCCAGTCTTCTATTATCTTTCTTAACAAAACAAAAGAAAGAAAAAGTAAGGATAAAAATTTTGGATGCATAAGGTATCTACACTTTTCTAGTAAAAAGTAGTCAAGGCAAACCTGCTATTACATTATACTTTACATCACAGTTTCTCCTGTAGTGACCAAGAGGCTGGACTTTTCTTATTGGAGGCCGTGTTAAAAACAAACAAAACCTTTGTACAAAGATAAGAGCATGGGTACAAGTTACTTAAAATTGCATTCACCAGAGCTGCTTGTAAAAAGAAAAGTTTCAAATGAGTTTTAGCTACAATTCAGTGCAGAAAAAGAAAGCTAGAAACCCATTTTTTTTTTTAAACATCAAGTTGTGTACAAATACTAAGACCACCTTAGTAACTGCTGCTTATCAGAAGAACAACATGAAATTCCTTAGAAAAAAGGAGGAAAAGAACACTGTGGGCAAAACCCTTCTGGCTTTGCAACTCCTGTGTCACAAAGAAAGGTATAAGGAGAGAAGCTTAGAAGGAAAATATTAATGTGAAGAGAGTCAGGATTTCATGAGTTGCTTTCTTAATGAGTTAAAGCAAAACTGCGTGTCCCCTATAAAGATAATACAGCTACAGAAATTATGTGGAAGCTACAATAATAATTGGTAGCTATTTTTGCAGAAAACAGGCTTTAGCCTTTCCCAGCTCTAATCCTCTTTTGGTAACAATTCTAACATTAAAAAAAATTAAAATGTTATAATTTGAATCAAACCAATGTTAAAATAACAACTTTTTGTCTCTAAAGCCTGTAAAACTTCTCCAGGAGCTCAGCCAGCTTTCATAGGCCATAAGCATCAACTAATAAATTCACAAACTAATTATCTTAAACATACACAACAGGCTCTGCAATATTCTCTTCACTGTCACACATTCCAGCTACACCTGATTTCTGAGAATCCAGATGACCCCAATACCACAGCCAGTGTCACCTTACAACCTTCCCTGTCCTTCCCATGTCCTTTTTTTAGTTTATCCCTTCCCTCCTCTGCCCTTCAAGGGCTGAACTCTGCATCTTTATCCAACATTATTTTGAGGGCACGTGTTTTTAATGAAAAGAAAGACACGCACAAGCTGATCTCAGTTCCATTGTTTATTTTTACATACTCTTTTCAATGTTAACTGATATATTCTTATGTACATAAAGTGAGTATTTCTATGAACATCCAGACTGGTTCATATTCGTTCGAAAGTTATAAAAATAGATTTTTATGAAATTAAAGTGTACGTGTGCATATATAAACATACACACCCATATATACATATATGAATACACACACGTATCAAATTAAACTTCAAGTTGTTAGCTAAAACTAGATTTAAAATTTATCATGACATGTTCATGTCTAACTTCAAAATAGTTTGCATATCACTGTTTCAAGTAGTTGAACTTCAGTTAAGTAACAGCTCAGTTTAACTGGGTACTCACCTGATCAGTAAGTTCTCTGTCGTTTGTTAGATTCTTCTGTAGGCGAGTCTGCCAACCTTACTTTAAGCCTGACACCATTCACAATCTTGCCATGTAACGCAGTTATGGCATCACTGGCACTTGCTCTGTCTGCAAATTTTGCATAGCCCACATTTTTTCCAGCCACAAGGTAAACTTTTATCAAGTGTCCAAAACGACTGGGGGGGAAAAGAAAACAAACATGATTTACAGGTTTTGCTGAAACCTAGATACCCATTATCCAAACTGAAGTATGTATGATTTTGTAACTGCAAAAACTATATTCTCATATGTATGCTGTATTTTCTTGTGCTGCCCTCTTCCAGAACTCCCACTTTTTGTATTCTCTTCTCTAGAATTCCAGGCAATTTCAGAAGTAAAATGAACCGTTCATAGGCAATGTTTTCTATGGAATATCAGTAGAACCACAAGCAGCAGTGATTTAGCTCTTATTTAAAAGAACATATAAAGCTAATCAATACCATAGTTCCCAAACAATAAACGGCACTCCAGGAAAACCCAGAAAACCAAAAGAACAAAAAACCCCAAGCAAACCAAAAAGAACACACATGAACCAGCAGACAACTTAGAGGCTAAACTTTCATCTCACTTAAATGAACTTGCTTAGTTGTGATTAATCTTTGAAAAAGTCTCACTGAAGTGACACAGAAAGCAGTCACGAAAGTTTTAGGAAAAGACCCAGATTTCAAAGTCCTCAGAGACTCCTAAACAGTTCCTTAGAAGCATTAAAAAAAAAAAAAAAAAAAGTCTTCTTGCTTCATACTAAAGTTATACAGGTGTCAGGACTAGGTTACATAGCCTTTTTTCTTTCAGTATACCAAATAGGCACCATTTTCAATTCCACACGAGTGTATACCGTTTCTTTTCTTCTCCTGTGTCATGGATGAAAGTATTGACATGGTAATGATTTAGTAAGAAATCTAGATTTATTAATATCTAACAGCAATTTTTCAATACAAAATAATTCAGAAATGCTGAGAGAAACAAAAACAACTTATTCAGATTCTAAAATGACAAGATTCACTATAACTTACAAAATGGTACTGTAATAAACTACTGTAACTAATTTGCTAGGTTGGGCAAGGCAGATAGGTACACTTGAATGATCTGTAAATGTTAAACAATTAAATGTAAAGTGTGCCATTCAGATTGGAACAATGTAACCCTGTCTCAGAAACCCCACCTAGAGCTGACATGTAACTGTTGTTTGAAGAAAAGCCTGCCAAAAAGATGAGATCATGAGGCTTTAAAAGATCCAATAGGAGAAAAGTGCGCCACGAGACCAAGGCTTCGAGACTTTCGAAAGACCCAATAGGAGGAGGACACGCACCCCAGCAACTCAAATGACCCAATGGAGAAGAGCAGGACAACTATCTGACGGGAGGAGATTGGTTAGAGAGGATGGCACAAGAGTATAAAACCCGCTGGATTTGGAACTCGATGTGCGTGTGGCAGAGTTGCGGCTCTCCATGCACCCAGTGCTGCTTTGCCTATTGCTTCCCACCCTAAATCCATTGAATCCAAATAAATATATATATATATTTCTATAAAAACTGGCTGTCTTATTATAACAGTACCTTAATTTATACATATATACACACGTGCATACACAAAATGGGCATACACATACAAAAACAAAGGTGTTTGGATTCAGCAGAATGAACACAAAAGAAACACACAGAAACAAGGATACCTACACACACACCCCCCCCAATAAACAGAGAAAGAACGGGTGAAAGAGAAGCGAGTTCAAAGAAAATTTCCCTCTCGAGATTAGAGCAAATACTCACAATGCCTTGGCATTCCTCAATGGGCAGTTATTGAGACTTGAGCCGGTGGACTTAGCCCTGGCCTCCTGTCTGGGGCAGATGACACCTTAAGGGTTTTGGTACCTGAGAGGCATCCCAGCTCAGGGGAGATGCTGGTCACAGGCCCGCTGTGATCCAGAAGAGCTCAAAGGGTCTCTCTGGTGGTTGCAGTTTATAGGGTCCAAGATAACTGACTTTTGTCAAATACCTTTTGGTGCCTTTCGGCAGTTGCACAAGAATTTGATGAACTTGCAACTCTGCTATAGTTCTGTCTGACCACATCCCAGGAACAGGTGTGCCAGGCCATCAGGAGATGGTGGGCCATTATACCCCTTTCAGAGCAACCACGAGGGGCAGGAGCCAGGCTCATTAACGTTGTCAGTCCTTATCTCCACAGATTGGTGTATAACTGGGGGGGGATGTGGATGGAATGAAACCTAGCAGCCCAAGAAGGAAGGACAGGGAGGGGTAAGAATTGCACCACCACATCCTGGTGCTTTGAAAATGTTTTGGCTTTCCAAAGATGTATTGCAAATGCCAGCTATTAGAAAAGAGAAATGTCTTTTTCTTTGAGAGAATAAATAATATAAAATACTAGAGAACACCTGAATTACAGATTTATTTTAAAGATGGCAAAAACTGTCTCTGAAGTCTTTGCTCCTCATAGGGAGGTAGTGTGAAAGGATGGTTGAAATAGTATCAGTAAGATGCAAACTGTAAAAACATGTCAGGATGTACGAGAAAAAAGCTTCCCTATACTTGCTCCCCTAAATTACTGTGGAAGTTTATCAAAAGACTTCAATTCCCTACAGGTGTACAACAAACCGCCAAATTAGGCCATAAGAACCAGAAGTACTACAGGTTTTGGTTAAAAAAAAACCTTAGAGACTAGACATTTTACTTCAGATTACGTCAATCAATAATAAAGCTACTGTACTGATGACATTGCATCTATGCTTCAAACTGAATTCAACTACATAATTGTTTCAAAAAGCAACTGTTACCTATTGATCACTTATTACTTACTGATCATTGTGCACTGTCTTTTCTGGAAAGAGTTTTCATGATGATAATCTTAATTTTCAACATTTATTTTGAAGATTTCCTAGTTATTTTTTTAGTTAGAGAGCACTTATTCTTAAACGGAGTCTTACCAGAACACATCCTCCAATACATTTACAGGTAAAGGGTGGGGATGAAAGAGTATGAAAAGCCTTTCCTTCACAGAAGTGTCAGGTGGAACCTTTTTTTTGTGTGGTGGAAGTATGGCATCTGTTTGGGGTTGAAGTAACTGTGACCCAGAAGTTCCTCCAAATGCCTGCTGAAACAGTGGGAAAAAAGGCAAGTATAAATTAACTGATGAAGGGGGAAGTCATTATACCTTATTTACAATTTTTGTCCGTCACAGGACACGAGTTCTCATCTTGTTTACTTTGCTTATTTCATCAAATTGGAAAATAAATCCAAGTAGGATCAAACTTTATAGGGAATAAAAAAAGTACAAACCAACCACAGGTACATCTTAAAAAACAAAGCCTCTAGAACAGTTACATAAGGGAGTAGTGTTCTTTATTGACATACCTGGTTTCTTACAACAATTCAGAAGAATATTAACATCCTTTATATTAACTTACAGAAGGTGTCCTATATTGTTGAACAACTGCACTGTTATTCCGCAACACTGATGACACATGTGCTGTTACCAGCTGAGTTGCCATTTTTCTGATGAGGCTGAAAGCAGAAATAATAATAAACTCTTTTAGAAGAAAGAGAAAAGTTACAGTAATTTTAAATTCAGCAATAGAAGAGTCTTAATATACATCTAAAAATCTCTGGAAATCTGTAAGCTCCTGTAGGTAACGGAAGTCAAGTCAGGCTTTTGTAACACTCTAGACATGATCTGACATGTCTAGATTATCTAGATTCATTTAGGATGAAACTAAACCAAAATATTCACTGCAGGAGCACACCTAAGCTGCTCCAACTCATAATGGGTATTCAAATCACAGGAACAGATTAGAGATGGTCACAGTAAAACCTGATGACCTCCATACAGTGGGGATATCAGATCCTCAGCATCCAACAGTTTATATATGTACATCCCAAGGCTACTATTTACAGAACTGCAAACACAACCAGGAGATCAAGGAGATAAATCTTGTTTTAATACATAAACCTCATCAAAAACATTGCTACATATTACAGAGACACTTACAAAGGTTCTTGCCAAATCCAAGATTTTTCCAATGTATTTTAATCTTTTCTTTATCAGAGACTAGTAAGTTTCAAAAGGCTTATTCTAAACTATTAAAAAAAAAAAAAAAACCAACCAAAGCACCTACATTTCAGAAAATATTATCTACAAGTATGAAGGAAGATCACAGTGACATTGCTGTTACTTATGTTAAAAATGTACTTATTTTAAAATTTGCTCTCCAGAACACAACTTAAAACTTTCTATCTTTAAGTATGGTTACTTACTCTGAGCTATCACTCCCATCTTCTAGAAAAATGACAGTTAATCGATTTCCAGGAGGATACTCAAACCCATGTAATTTATACTTGGCATATATAGCTGATGCAGCAGTACTGTACTGAATCACAGCGTATCCTACAAATACAGTGTACAGTTTCAGTACAATACAGGTAAGATACACTCATATAAAGCAACATGATTAAACTGCACATTAGTCATGGATGATACAAAATTCTAAAAGTCTCTTTACCACACATTACATTAATAGCAACATCAAGAAGTATTTGTGAAGAAAACTTCAGTGGAATTAACTAGTGACAGATCAGCTATATTTATGCTAACTTGAAAAGCTGCTAATAAAGCAACATAAGTAAAAACATGTCTTCTTCCCTAACCCTGAATTAGAAACAAACATCCATAGTTTCATTTAAAAATGCAATTATTCCATCAATCCTGAATCTCAAGTATCGTAAAGTTGTATTTTTACTCTCAGACTCATTTCCATTTCAAACTTCTTGGAGGAGAGACATCTTTCACATTTTTCTCAGCAACAGCAAAACAAGACTGAAATCAAAACAATCCTTCCAATACAAAACGTTATTTGTTTCAGAATGATTTAATGCATTTACTCATGTCAGCTTCTGCATATACACACTTATTTCAGTCAAAACTGAAAAGATCTGTTTAGAGAACATTTAACCTATGTGCCTAATAATTTTTGAAACTTTTTCCCTGTTTAGTCTGCCCAAAACTATTAATTTGATCAAATCCCACTTCTCATGGTTTTGATTCTATCCTTCTGAAGATTCTATTACCTGAAAATAAAGGTGTTTAAGGCTATCTGTAAACAGGGGTTCAAACAAAACTGAATTTTTAGGCTTATGCATCAGTGTTAGCATCAACCATCGATACATAATACGTTAATTCTTATCAATCTACTGTAATTTGCAATGTAAATGAATTGTAGTACAATTAAAAGGCGTTCCCTTCAGACAAAGAAAAAAAAAAAAATTGTTTTGCACTTTTACTTACCACTATTGGTATGAGGATCTCTCTGAACATCACAGTATTCCAGTCCTGGAACTATATCAAAGAGGGCAAACAGCTGCTCTTGGATAAAGGGAAGCCGTGATACCACTGACAGACGTTTGGAGACTGACTCTTGAATTCTGCTCTCATTTTTTTCAAAGCCACAAAACTCTGGCTGTCCACCTCAAGAATCAACACAAAAATAATTTGAGTCATCACAGTAGCATGACTTCATTTCATACCTATTTTTCATTCAACTTTTAGAAGTAACCTGCCAATTATATACTAAGGGTAACATGTTCATTTCATCAGTGCAGGTCACAAAACAATCCGTCAACTAGAGTAAAGGAAGACATGAAAACACAGAAATGAAATGCCTTGCTCACTTCTAACTTCAACATTCAATCTACTATTTAAATGTTGACCTAAGCCCCCATTAGCTTCCCTTCTTCCAAATTGCGTTCTTACTTTGTGACCACACTGAAAAGACTACAAATCATTTTTAGTATAAAAAGTTGTGACTTACAAAATGGAAGTGCATTTCCTCTTGGTTCTTGCCTTGTGTTATTGCTATAATAATCATGTTCAAAAGGCTCAGATGACTTATTTTTAGGTTCAGCCAAAATGGCCCTGTAGCCTGAAAGAAAAAGTCACACATATAGCAACAACTCAACATCTAAATTATCTGATCAGATCTGCATTCTCAAAGTACTGTATTTAAAAACATATTTAGAAAATCCAGTAAGTGCTGGCTTTAGGAAAATAACTAATCTGTATCTCTTGCACTCTGCCATAATAATTGTGTGGAAGTTATCAACTTATACAGAGAGCTACTCCTAGTCACAAGTTAAACACAACAGAAACTTCTTGCTGTGACAGTAACTGAGCACTGGCAGAGTTATTCAGAGAGGTCGTGGCATCTCCATCCTTGGACATATTCAAAAGCCATCTGGACATGGTCCTGAGCAACCATGGTGCCCATGTGACTGTGCTTGAGCAGAGGGGTTGGGCAAGATGACCTCCAGTGGTCCCTTCCGACCATTCTGTGATACTTGGCAGGATTCAGAGACACTCCAGAGGCAATCACTTGAACTTCCATGCTATAACAGCAGTTTATGTATGTTCTGCATTGATCTAGACTTTGCTTTTACGAATGAAATAGATATTACTCTCAAGCTATCCAACAAATCCCATTTTAACCTCACAGCAAAAAGGAAATAAAGTATAACTAAGTAATCTCAGACTCCTATTCCTATGCAAGAATTGTCACAAACACAATTTTTGTAGAACTATATGACAGATATGATGTAGAACCAAAAAAAAAAAAAAAAAAAAGCACCACACAAGAACCAAAAACCACACCCACACAACAAATTGTTTTGTATTTACAATTAAGTGAACATTTAACAGGAGGTTGGATTAGAAGGCTGATGTTAGGTTTCCCCTGAAGCCTTTCTTCTCCTGGATGAGCAAACCCAGATTCCTCTGTTTCTCCTAAAAAATCATGTGCTTCAGCCCCTGATGACCTTGGTGACCTTCCACCAGACACACTCAAATTCTTTAACACCTCTTTGGTACTAGAGCATAAGTGACAAATGGTTGGTCATAAAGCATCTTTCATTCTGTAACAGGTTAATCATGACACTAAATGAAAACAAAACAAACCACCAAACTTCAATTAGGATTAATTTGTTCTTAAGTAATCGTAATCACAACAGAAGCCCTATGGATTATCAAATATATTTTTGATTAAAAATTAATATTCCCAGGGATACATTAAAAAGAAGTTTTCCTGTGTATGAAGCCTACATTACAGGCCAATAATAATTCATGAAAGAAAACTCTGTATCTATTTCCAAACTCTTTTCACTGATCTTACTTGCAATTTGGTCCTGCAAGAATGAGGTCAGGCAACTGTTCTCAGTGAATGTTAATAATACTAGTTTTTATTTGCAGTGGAACTTTATCTCATCATAAATAATTTACCTACAAATAAAACAAAAAATTAAAGGAACATTAACAACAATACACACTTATCGTGAAACACTTAAAAGAATGCAGTCAGATTCTTACTTCGATCACACTCTTCAATTGCTCGGGCAGCTTGCGATGGTTTTAAATACCTCACATAGCCCAAACCTTTACTTTCTCCAGTAGTCTTGTTTTTAATAATGCTGCAATATTCAATGTCTCCATACATCTAGAACAATTAAAAAGCATATTAATTTACAATATCTGAAAATGCATTAAAGTTCCATGTGTTAAGCCCTTCTGATAAATTAAGACAAAAGCAATTTTAACAATTAACAAATAGCAAATCAGTACCTTAAACTTCTCACGTAGATCTTCCTCTGTATAGGACTTTGGTATCATAACGAAGATTCGTGTAAGCTCTTCATCTTCGACATCTCGATGGCTTCCAGAAGCTCTTGATTGTGCAATAAATACCTAATAAAATAATTACATAGATAGTAATTATTGGAGAACAGGTCTTAACCACATATCAAGAAGCAAGAATAGTTTGTTTTAACAAGTCTTTGTATTCATCTTTCACATAAGCTAGATTTCCTAACATGGAAAGAAAGAACGTCACAGATGAAAGAATGTCACAGATGCATCTATGATGAGAGCTAAGACCTACAAATATAATACACCCCAAATGGTTTCCCGAACAGGACAGGGGGCCTGCAGAAGTTCTCACTAGGGATAATGAAGAATAGTCAGGAGTATCGAAGCCTGATTCAGCAGCACTTGTAATGTCACAGGTCGCACGTGAGACAGGAAAAAAACCTGCATTACCTCAACGGGCCTAGTATAGCAGTAGTAACAAAAAATAAGCAAGCAAACAAATAAAAAAACCTAGCAGCTTATTAAAACCTTGCTACTGTAGCTCACTGCTCAGCTGGGATGAGGCCTGCAGGTCTAGTGCTCTGTGAATGTTCATAACTTCTCACATCTATAACTGCTGAAGTCCCTTTTAATTACTGAAATAAATTTAATCTCAGAAGTGCACCCCAGAAGACAACCAGGAAAAAAAAAAAAAAGCAAAAAACCCAAACCAAGGAAATAAAAAAAAAAAAATTACAATCTTCAAAGTAAGCCCTTTATGCAAAAGCAGCGACTGATTTCACAGAGTTCTTAAAATTATTTTTCTAATGGTCATGCAGGAGAGTAAGGAACACAACTCTGATCTTTCAGCTTCCAATGTCAAGTTCTTCAGAAAAGATTTTACTGACTCAATCGCATTTTCAAAGGGAACACATGGAACCTTCTTTCACTGTTTAAGGTCACTCATATCTTCTTAGTACTTGGGGAATGTAAAAACAATTCAAGAGGCTGAGAGCTGCCCTCCAGCTCCATAGATAAAGCATCGTTATTTTGGAAAAACCGTACACAAGCTACAAAACCCGTGTGAAATACACTTTCAAAGTCAAGTCTATTTATTCACATCGATCCTGCTTACAACATCTGCACCGCTTTAGAATATTTCATAGACTCTCTCAAGGTTACCAAAAAAAATCCCCCAACAAAGCCAAACCACGAAAAGACCCAAACCAAACAAACCTAGTTTCCAGGTACTGCATTTTCCTCGGGCCTGTTGCAGCTTATGCCTCGGTTGGGAACTTCAGGCAAGGGTGGGCCCGGCTGCATCTCCCCGCGAGAAGCCCCGCCAGCCCCGCCGCCC